TTGATTTTATTCTTTTATAGTTTCATCTACAAAGAACAAGAAACTTTCATATGCGCACTGTCGGATCCAGTAGTTCAGCAGTCTGGTGATCGCCCTCTCTTCATGAACAGAAGTGACGACGATAATTTGTGGAAAGTTGCAGCAATAAATATCTGCAGAAAACAATGAACTCTTTAATTAAGAGCTCCATATATATATATCTGCTAAGTGTTTCTGCAGATTATAACTGTGACATTTCTTTTTTCTACGATTTTAGTAACACAGCATCATTTTATGACATCACTATACATGTATATCAAGTGAAAAAAAGAATTGTGACTTTACAAATCTATGAGAATTTATAGGTTCTCTATACCTAAAATTGTTCAAAGCTCTGTGAAACCAAACAGAAATTAGAATTCTAGAACTATTATCGTTCAAGAACGTTGAGATTGTTGGTGAAGTGCGAATTTTACAAATAACCAGATGCTCAATTTTATTAGATTTATATGACAATAGGAAATCATACGGTTATTCATACAGCTGCACGAAAGACTCCGCAAGATTTTGAGTAGCTTCGCTCTATTTAGCAAGTACTAAATTGTATGGTATTGGTTGATATCTAACGTAATCTGCTGCTTTTCTCCGACATATATACACGATTCTAGGCTTCTATGAGCAAACCCTCATTTGGTGTCTTCTTTGTAAAGAAAACTATAACGTAAGAGTTAAAAGCGTAAGTAACAGTGGCAAATGTAGGAAAAAAGCATTTCAGAAGAAAATCGAACTAAATAAAAAATTAGTCTATTTAAAATGAAGCAAACAGGTTAAGTGTGTATGATAATTTTTAAATATAATTAAAAGCATTGCTTTTTCTGATGAAATATTTTACATAGAAAAAAGTTTCATTCATTCATAGACAGTTTTTTTTTCATGTTAATTATCTTTTAAATAAATAAGCATGAAATATATTTATCTTCATCATGCGATTCAATGTTTAAACGAATTCAAGATAAAAAAAATGATAAAGAGAATAGATATCTCTTCAAACATCATTTTTATTTTTATGTATATAACCAACATTTTTATTATCAAGTAAAATAATATTTACGTAAGTTGAAATTATTTTTTAAGTAAAATCAATCCTCTTTTTTTCAAAAAACAAAAAAAAGACTTCTATAATTGTTTATTATTAACAATCTGATTTATTTGCAATACATCATAAAGAACCCAAATCAATGATAATTTAAACATTTTAGATAAAAAAATGAACTAATGTGAATTTTTAATAAGTTTAACGTAACTTTAACAATTTTTTTATCCAATCATATTAAATAAACGAAATAAGTTTTATTTAAATATTAGATTATAATAGAAAATACTTTCAATACCATTTTATTAAATATTTATTCAGAAATAATATCGTTTTAACATGTGTCGTTCTAATGGTCAAAATTTATTTGTTAATAGTTAATTTATAATGTTTGATTTTCATTTAGAAAACCTTAGAACAATAAGAATAACTGATATCCTCCTGAAAAAAATAATTTATATTTTAAGGAACTTAATTTTTAATAAAATTCGAATAAATAATCTCACATTTATCAGCATTCTCTGATGATTGAAATTAGAGAGAGTCAATCATCCAGATTTAATTCTACATGAAAATTATATTAAGAAATAAATTTTAAAAAAGCAATGCTTTCTGATGCTTTTGAATTTATTCGAATCTTGAGATGTGTAAAGAAAACTGAATCGCATATCTTTGGTCGACAGACATATAGTCGAAAGACATTTTGCCAAACAGATACTTCGGTGCTAAGAAAATTTGTCGAATTTATTTCGTCGACGTCTTTTTGTCGACAATGGAAATAGTTCATGATGCATTTATCATTTGAATTATGAATTCCTCTATTTTGATCATAAAACGGTGCCTACAATCTTGTTTTTTTTTTTGGTTAATCAAAAAATATTTCTTTTCGAAACGAAATAACAATACGATCAATAAAACTTTCATCAGATCAAATTCGACTCACTTCAGCGTGGGTGTAGATGAAGGGTATATCCAAATTTGCACCTACATCGTCTCGCTTTTAGTCGTAAAGAAGAAATGAATAGAATTAAAAATAGAACACCTCAATCCTTCTACGTGCTGGCCTTTTCCTTTTTCTTCTCACTATGTATATTCTTATTAGTTTACTCCTTATGTGTGTTATTTTCTCCTTTATCTTGTTGAGTAAGAGTGCAACACCTGTAACGTCTTGAGGTTTGGTGGTATTCGGTTTGGCTTGACGGCTTAAGATTGTTTCTGTTCTTCGATGACGCAAACTCCACTATTTTGGTAAAATAAAGTGTTAGAAAGAACTCTCAACTTAATCAGAAGTGTGACGAAACCAAAAATGATTTGGGGATTCAAGATTGAGTCTAAACACAAATGACTTCGAGCAAACTCTCCGATCCATTTTCTGATTTTTTTTCTGCTCGTCTAGTAAAGTAGAACTTTGTTTCTGACAATTTATTTTAACAAGATCTGCGACATTTGAGTTATTGGAGACCAAAGTCGAACCTAATTTCCCAAATCCACTTCCACCAACAGCTTCAAGAAAGTTGAATTCAAATCCAAATAAAATCCCAAACTTCTTGATCTTAAATCCTCAATATGTTGTAGATGTTTTGCACATTTATTATTGGACAAATAGACAAAAAAAAAAGTAGGCTGACATTTTAGAACATTGGTATTTCTTCACAAAGATTATGTCAGCAAAATGTCTATCGAGAAACGTTTGTCGACGAACAATATTATTGTTTAAAAAAAATCTTTGTTTGATAAATAAAATATGCTAATTATCTCATCATAAAATAGAATCATTTGATAAAAAAAATAATATTTAATAAGTAGTAATCTAAATTACTTATTTAAAAGTAAACATGAGATGAAGAAATAAATTTTTTTTCATTGAAACAGTCTTATTTGCAGATAAAAATGTCAATATTATACAATTTATTATTTATTTTAACATTATATAAATTATATATAAATGGTTATCCGTCAACTTATTGCATACGTTTTGATACAGATGTAAATGGTTCAAAAAATCCAATAATAATAAATATAACACAAAATTGGTCACCAATTGGAGCAAATCATTTATTTGATATTATAAATTCTGATTTTTATTCGGTTCCATCAGCTTTTTTTCGTGTTGTTCCAAATTTTGTTGTTCAATTTGGAATAAGTGGTGATCCAATACAAAATACGATTTGGAATGAACCGATTCAAGATGGTTTTATAATAACATTTATTTAATCATTTCTTTATTTAATTTATCTTTATTTAGATCCAGTTAAAATGTCAAATGTCAAAGGTACACTTTCATATGCAACAGCTGGTCCAGATACTCGTACAACTCAATTATTTATTAATTATGTTAATAATCCACGTTTAGATTCTTTGGGCTTCTCACCTTTAGGTTAAATAAATTAAATATTTTCTTTAATCTAATGTTCTCATTATTAAATTTTAGGAATTGTGACAACTGGCTTTGACACAGCTCTTGCTATTTTTAATCCAACACCAGGTATTATTTAAATAAAAGTTTTTGATATGATACTTTTCTATATATGATTTCAACTGAAAAATGTTTTTCAACGTAAATTTTAATAGAATGATTTATTATTCAACAAAAAAAAATATTGTTTTTAGTTAAAAATTGACCGATATATTATTTTAATCTTTTTGCTTAAATAATTAAGTTAAATTCATTTCTTACATGTTGACTAAACACATTGAGATGTATTCAATGAATCATATATCAATGAACAAGTTAATATTTTCTGAAAAAATTCAAATGTTTTCCAATAAAATATTCGATTAAAAAAAAACTACATCAAACGAGAATGAATCGGTAATTTTAATTTTTAATAAGAATTTTTCTAGAAAGGTTATTAACCAGCTAAGCATAGGCTCTCTATTGAAAGAATTTTTCACATTATTATGATAGTTGAATATTGATTAGAACAGTTACTTCGATTAATTTTATAGTTATTTGAATGTTTTACTTAAAAATTTTCTTATAGATTGAGCCATCTCTAAATAAAAATTGTTTTCGTGAAATATTTTTCATAGATGAACATCATTGTCTCATAGAATCACTAATTAAAACAATATTTCAAACAGAGTTCTTCTCTGTTCTCCTGTTCTATCGTGTTTGATAGGGTAAGAATAGTACAAAAAGTTGTTAAGGTAGAATTAAGGTGTTTCTCATATTATTAAGAATCTTTGATCAGCAGCAAGAATCAGTATTGAACTAGTAGGACAAAGAGTTATTGAACTATGCACAAATTAGTGTTGGAAAGAGTCTTTTGTTAGTGTCGACAAGTTCAGTCAAACACCATTTCATTACAAGCGAAAGAACTTTATAAGAGAGCAGATACAATTGAGTCGCGACATTGTTCATGATATTTTAGTTTTACGAAACTTTTGAAACATCTAATATTTTTTATTTAACTATTATTGGAAATCAATAAAATATACTGAAAACACATGAGAAAGAGAACTTTATGTTGACATCTATCAAAACCGAGAAATCTTGGGATGCATTAGGGTAGGAATGCCAAAGTTTTACGGCAGAATAGACAAGGGTACAAAAATTGAATGAGCTTCCACAAAGTTCAAATGAAGACTTTTAAATACTTGTTTTTTAAAAAACAAATTTCATTCAGTTATTATTAATACTTTAATTGGCATGTCAAAGTTGTTTTTTAGAATTTCTTTTCTTTAACAATGGATGGTTATTTGAGAGTTTAATTTGTTTTAGGTAGTAGCGATGGTGTTGATCAAGAACAATATGCAACAAAAGGAAATAAATGGATTATTGACAATTATCCTCAAATTAATTTTATTGAAAAAGTTTCAATTACTTATAATTGTCCATTTACAAATTAACTTTATTGAATTTATCTATTTATTTTATAATAATTCCCTTTTTTTCTTTAATTTAAAATAATAAATAATACAAATATCAGTTGATCTTGGTAACAATTTCAATTTCAAGACCGGGTGAAAGGAGAGATTTCTGACATTGTGGAACAAGTTTTGGATCTTTATGAATATATTCTGTATAACCACCAGTGAAATTGCGAACTAAAAGTGAACATCGATGTTGAGGTTCCGTTCCATGAACATGAACACATTCATGAAATACATAAAAACAATCATCTTTACGTAATGGTGAAGTCATTGTTAATAAATCATAATCACCAGTCGAAAAAGTAACATTTGCATACCATAAACCAAAACTTCCATTTGCCGACGAACCATCAGTAAATTGTGCATTAGGATCATCACATTTGCCACCATTAGGCTTCTTTTTGCAGTGATATATCAACAAAAAAAAATGAATGTAAACGATAGCGCAAGATACGGTCGTATCAGCACCACAAAAAAACGCAAGAAACTGAAGCATTAAAAGAGAAACACTGCATTGTGTTTTTGTTCGAAATCGAAAAAAAGAGTGATTTTTGTATTTCAACTGAAAATGATAACTTTGAATAGTATTTGTAAAGTTCGTTCATCTTGTGCTTTTTCTCTACAAAAAAAAAACTAAATAATTTAATCAGTAAAAAAATCGTTATATATTAATCAATTGAATAACTAAAAGGAATTCATTTTTCGTTCTCAATTAATCTACTCCTTTAATTTTAGTTCATATTTTAGAAAAATTATTTTATTGTTTTATCAGTTACTATTATTTTGTTAAATATTAGTTTCAAAGATATATTGAAAAGATGACATGAAAATTAGTAGAACATTAATAGACATATATCTTGAAATGTAATGCATTTATGTTAGAAATTGAAATAGAATCTCTAAAAAGATTAAAGCAAAGTTATCAATAAAGAAATTTCAATTAAATGCAATATTTTATTGAAACGAATGATCAATAAATTGAAATAACGATGATATATTAATATTAATTATTCCAAGAATTGATAAATGCAAGAGTTGTAGTCAAGTTTTATGTCTTCGAACTATTTCTTATGCTACAAACTAAAATCATAAATGCTTTTCAAGTTCATTGAATCGGAATAAAAAAAAAGAAGAATTAGTCTTATTTGTATATGCAATAACTGAACTTGTCGATTAAAATTTTTCGTTCTACTAGAACAAAAAAAGTATTAGTTCAAGTTGTTTTAATTGAAATTAAATTTATTTTCATTAGATATTAAATGTAAAGAAAATATACTTTGAATATCTATTTGATTGTTAACTATCTGTACGTGACCTAGATATTTTAGTTTCTTTCTTATGTTTTTGTATTCTTTATAATTTTGTAACTATTTATTTGTCCGTTATTCTTATTGCCTATTCCTATTTTGATCTCGAGAAGAAACAATTTCATTTAAACAATCGTAAAAGAATTTGCGCACATGTTTTATTTTTATTGACGAATAGAAAATCGATCGTTAAATTTTAATAGATGATAAACGAAAACATTATAGCTAAGAACATTTGTTATCGATCGTCAGATTTTCTGATGCATAAACATTATTTCTTTTCTATCGATGATCAGAATATAGATAGAATATATTCCAATAGATCAAATTAAATGTATGTTTAGAGCGAAAAAGAAAGATTAAATCTATATCAGATGAAGAAGACATTTCATTGAATTGAACATTGTTTTAGTAAATATGTCTATCATATTTTAGAATTTATTTTTTCGTTTGTTTATCTTATTTTCTATTGAATATTATCATAAATACAATATTATTTTAGATTTAAAGTTGACAATTAATTAAAAATTTACAAAAAAAAAATGTCGTTAACTTCAATGGAATATAAAAGTCAAGGTAATAAATATTATTCAAATAATGAATGGTTATTAGCGATTGAATCGTACAGTGAAGCAATAAAACTTATTGAAAATAATGTTGAAGAAAATCTTCCATTATATTTATTATATTCAAATCGCTCAGCTGCTTATATTCAAGATAAGAATTTTTATTCTGGTTATGAAGATGCTAAACAATCATTAAAATTAAAAAAAGATGGAAATTTTAAAGGATTTTATCGTGCAGCTATTTGTGCATATCATCTTGGTTTTATTGAACAATCTCAACAATTTATTAAAGAAGCAACACAAGATCATCAACAAAATCTTATTAATTATTTAGATTTAAAATTATTAATAGAAAAAAAAGTTAATTGTATGAAAAAATGGCGAAAACCAATTGCAACAGCTAAAAAATCAATAAAAAATCTTCAACAAATTATTCAAAAGTAAATTCTATTTGATTTAATTTAAATTATTGAATTTTTTGTTTTCTTTTTTCTTCTTTTAACAAGAAAAGTTTTGATGTTTGAAATTCCATCTATTCTTTATCAAATTCGTTATTTATTACGAGCATTTTTTGACAATAAAAAAGATAAAAAATTAATGAATATGGATACTGGTGATCTTGGTTTACGACTACATGAATTGGCTGTACAATTTAATTCTGTTTTTCATGTTGAAGTATGTTTTACATTTATTAGTAAGAATTTTTAGATGATTTTATTCGAATATTTTATAGAGAAATAAAAATTATTTTATAACACTAAATTTATGAAGATGAAATGAAAAGCTTTTCTTCTTTATTGAATTTATAATTCTTAATAAATCTTCACTTTAAACGACATTAGAACTTTCTTCAATTTTTAATATAAATTTTTGCTGCCGATAGGAACGCTCAATAGATATTCTCAATGTGCAAATCATTTAGTATCGATTAAAGAAAAAGTCTTTTAATATAAAATCACCACACGAAACTATAATGGATAATATATGGTACCAGATATTTTTTAACGAAAAAAATTTTCTCGAAAAAGTTTACAATGATTCTTCTCAAGTATTTTATGTCAAAAATTTTTTTTTCTTCAAATATTGATTATCTGACGAGGGAACATCCCCAAGTGATTCGCTCTGTTTTGATTCATTCGTAAGTCATTCGATAGAGTATATTGAGATAAGAAATAGCCTAAAAAGATTCGTGCTCATGGCCTAGTAGTGAGGAGTTATGGCCATTTTACTGAAATTTTTACTGTAAGCAAGGCATTACGGAAAAAAACCAAACTGAAAAATTTCGAGCTGAAATTCTATATATAGATAGATTTAATAGTCATTATATAGTCCTGAAAGTTTCAACAAAAACGCAATGTCTTTATCGAGATATTCAATTTCCAACTAAACTGGATTATTGTGTCCTTCTATCGAAAACAGCTTTTTTTAAAAAGTTGAATAACTTGAGAAAGACATGTTCGTTTTCGTTGAAACTTTCAGGACAATATATGCAATTTCAGCTCGAAATTTTTCATTTTGGTTTTTTCTGTAATGCCTGGCTCACAGTAAAAATTTCAGTAAAACGGCCATAACTTCTCACTACTAGACCATGGGCACGAATCCTTTTAGGCTATTTCTTATCTCAATATACTCTATCGAATAACTTACGAATGAATCAAAATAGAGCGAATCACTTGGGAATGTTTCCTCGTGAGTGATATCAAATCACTTCTGAGCAAAAGAAAAAAAGGTTTCTAAGAACGAAGATTACATGTCCATCTGCCATGTAAAAAATTTTCATAATGACTAAAATATACTATATGAGATGTTGTTGTTATACTATTCCATATCGTGTATAAATAGTGTTTTCATTATAATATTTAAACTAGGTCGTTATGTAAATAAAATTTTCTAGTAAATTAAAAAATAAATATGCATAATAGCATAATAATTAATAAGTATAATTTATTGTATATGTGACATTAAAACTTCTGTGTGTGTGTGTATTTAGAAATTAATAATGGCTGATCCATTATTAGAAGATCTTATATTATATGAAATGCCTGATGTTGGATCATTACGTTTAAAATCATATGAACAACGTAATTTACCAGATGATAAACGAGATTATAATTTAGAAGAAAAAGCTGCAGATGATTTGGCAGCATATGTGAGTTTTTTTGATATTTATAAAAAAAAAAAAGAAAAGCTAATTCTTTTAATAGCATTTGTTTGTTGTTTTTTTGTTAAGGAATTTTCATTTTTCGTAAATAATGTATTGGCATCATTAGTTGTTGATTGTTCAGATGAAAAAATGTCAATACGTGCATTGAAACAAATTCATCGTTTAACAACAATTGATTTATATCGTCAATCATTAGGTGATGCTTTATCTGATGCAATTAATAATTATATTTATTCTCATTCAAAAAATCGTTTAATTGTTGAAAAACTTATTTCAAATAATGGTATTGAAATTTTTTTTTATGATTATATTGAATCATCATGTCAAATGTCAGCATCACGTATGATTAAAAATATAACAGCTGATCAATGGAAACAACAATCATTAACAACAATTCAATTTGTTATTAAACAAATTAGTCAAAAAATTGAAAATGAAGGTCTTCTTTATTGAATATTATTATATTGATTTATGTTTTTTTTTCTTTATTTTTATAGGTATTGAATTAATTGAAGATAGACAAGTATCAAATTTTGAAATTGAATTAAAACGAATCTTAGGTCTTGATTCAGTTGATGATAATGAAAAAGAAGACTTTAATATAATTATAAATGTTTTAACAAAAATTTTGATGGTGTTTGGTAAAAAACCATTTATAGATCGATCTTCATATGATCCATTGTTTTTATATGTTAATCAAATGTGGTTTGAAAAATTTAATTATGATCAATATCGATATAATATTCCATATTTACTTAATAATTGGACTTCAATTATTACACAATGGTTAAAACTTGATCATTCAAATCGTCAACAATATATTCAAAAAATCAATACTCATCTATTAGATAATCATCATTAACGAACTTTTATATTTAGTTATTTATTTATTTAGACTCGATTTTTCTTTTTTGTTTTTGTTCTTTTTTTTTGTTTGAAATCTTAATTAATAAAATAGAGAAAAAACATGTTTATCTTGGGATGAAATATTCATTTTATTCATAAATGATAATTATTTACATTTTTTTTTATTTGCTTTATTTAACAACGTAAAAATTTTCATAGAACATTTCAACTCTTTTTCACATCTATTTTATTATATTAATGAATAACGAAATTCTTATATATTAAATTAAATTTTATTTTAAGTGTATAATCAAAGTAAAATTCAAATATTTCTGAATTATTTAATCTTATTTAGATATGAATCAATTTCCTTGAGAGTAATACTATAAATAGAATTTCATTTGCGTTCTTATGCACATTTGAAAATTTTATTCAGATTTTATATGAGTATGGTCATCATGAAACTATTAAACAGTTTATTGACTGAAAAGAATTTTATTAATGCATATGAAAAAATAAGAAAAATATTTAAATATTGTACAGAAAATCCATCAAGAGTGTATAAAAGATGATCAATCGTTTGATTAATTTACTAATATTAGACTTCATATGAAATTAGATTAGATTCATTGACATTTAATAGAAAATAAGTTTTTTTTATATGAAAATCTTGTCAATACTCAAAGAAAATATTAGGTTATTTGTACATATAAAATCAAAACTAATTAAAAAAACCGAATAGATTTTTTAATGAGACTTCCATTTCGAATTGATAAATTCTTGAAAAATACTTTAGTTGTTTTCAAAAAGACTGAAAATAAACTAGAATAATATGATTTTTTTATTGATTAAATAAGACTAATTCTATCGTAATATAATGTTAAAACATAAAAACAAAATCGTAGAAAAGATTTCTAATGAAACAAATAAAAGTTTTTTAAGTTTCACTGTTCATATACGATCGAATAATGTGTTTATTTTTCAAATTAGAATAGTAAAAAGAGTTATTCCACACATTTTTCTGTTTCTCTGACACAATCAACTCTATCAATTATTTATTTATCATTCAATTATAATTATTTATAGATTTTTTTCTCAAAAATTGTTTTGAATTTAATATCATTATGTCGTGTGACGTCTAAAGATTTATTTCTCTCTCTTACAATTACATAAAATGTTGGCATTATTCTGCACAGTAATTCGTCTATTAGACTGATAATTTCTTTTAAGAAATCATCAAATGAGTGATATTTTCTCTCGAGCAAAAAATCTTTGCTTGGCTTTTTATTGAGTCAAACAATGTTTTGTATTGTGTAGATAGATTCCACCATATCAACTGTTTTCTCAACAATCGTACTCATTAATATTTGACATAGTGCTTCAATAGAATGTTTAAAAGAATGAAAGCTCTTATAGAATTTGTAAGTGACACCATATAACATGCTTTGAGTGAAAGAGGATTAACTTATGAAAGATTCGAATACACACTTCAAATACAATTGTGTAATCGATATGCTCGTTGTTATTGATCGTTTATTTGAACTTTTATTTTCAATTTCATTTTTCTTCAAGCCCTTTTTTTCTAAGTAAAAGAATGTACAATAATACGATGTACGAAATAATAACAATATTCATATTGAGTGCAAAGCCAGATGAATAAGCATAGTTTACTGCAAATTTTCATGAGAGTTATTACTTCAAAAGCGTACAATGGTACTGAGTCTATCGGATCAGTATCGAACGAGACGCAAAATTCTCTTACGAAGAAATTTACTAATACAAGAGATAAAACTCTATATAATATAAATAACAAATTTGTTCCTGTTTGGCTCGATAGTAATGTAAATGATTCTGATTCAACTTATCGGAATTCAATTGCTCGTCTTCAACGTATTTCTGCTCTCATAAATACATTTACAGATGTTAATGAATGCCTACAATCTCTTACTAGAATGAAAGATTCAAAAATTTTAATGATTTTAGCTGATTCTCTGGTCAAAGAAATCTACCGTTGCATTAGATCAATGACTCATATTCATTCAATCTATATTATTACTGATAATGATCAAAATAAAGAATATTCTCAATAAGATTATGATAAAGTAAAAGGTATTTTGTGATAAAATTGATTCAATATATAGTTTTATTAAACGAGATACAAGACAATATGAACAAGATATACTTATTATAAGTATTATTTCTTTAGACAGTTATTTAAAACAAGATTTGATACAACTTAATCAATTATTTATTTACTGGTTTCTAGTTAAAAAAATTATTCTTGATATGAAATACGATGAAAAAGATCATAAACGTTTAGCACAATTTTGTCGTAATCATTATAATGAAAATAAAAATGAATTAAAAATAATTATCATAATCATTCACCAATATGATGGTATACTCGAAAGTGTTTTATTTATGTTATGATTAATAGAGCTTTACAAACACAAGATATTAAAGTTATTGTTAAAATGAGACTTTTTATACAAGATTTTCATCGACAATTAGAACAAATAAAAATAAATGATAAAATATCGACAATTTCATATCGAAGTCAAAATTTATCAAATGATGATTTTCAAAAAAAAATGAAAACAAGTCAAGATAATCTTCTATCATTTAATAATTTCATGTTAGCAGATACAAATTATGAAACAGCATTGGATGGTGCTCGTCATGAACGTATTAATAATAATGCTGTTGGAATTTTATTTCGTATAGAAGTTGAATCTACTCAAGCATCAATTCCTTTTGTTTCATTAACAAATTTAAGTTATCTTGCTGAACAAGGCAAATATGTTCTCTTTTCAATGCATTCTGTTTTTCGTATTCTTGAAGTGAAACAAATAGAAGATCATTTATGGCAAGTTAATTTAAAATTAACTGAAATTAATGATAAACAGATGGCATGCCTTGACAAACTAATTCGAGAAGAAACTCAAGATGTAGCTGGATGGTATAAATTATCTAAGATAATAATCATTCTATGTGATTTTGATCACGCTAAAGAAATTTATTTTATTCTTCTTAATTTATTATTGGAAAATGTTTCATCAAAAATATCTCATATATATAATGAATTAGGACTTATTTGTGATGAAATGAGTGATTATGCATCAGTGCTTTCATTTTATAAAAAAGCAATTGAAATTCGACATAAATCTTTACCTCCTAATCATCATTTTCTTAGTACTACTTATAATAATATTGGTGAACTTCAAATGGAAATAGACAATTTTCCAGTTGCATTAAAATATTTTGAAAAAGTTCTTCAAATTCGATTAAAAACTTGTTCGCCATATAATTCATCATTAGCTATTACATATAATAATATTGGTCTTATTCATCGAGAAATGGGAGATTACTCTCAAGCTATATCATTTTTTCAAAAATCACTTGGAACAAAACAAAAAACATTTACATCATATCATTCATCCTTAGCTATTACTTATAATAATATCGGTGAAATCAATCAATTAATGGGAGAATTTTCTCAAGCACTTATGTCCTATCAAAAACCATTAGAAATTCAAGAAAAAACTTTTTCACTTAATCATTCTGAACTTGCTACTACATACGATAATATTGGTATTACTCATCAATCAATAGAAAATTATTCAATTGCATTGTCATTCTATCAAAAAGCATTAAAAACTCGACAAAAATCACTTTCTGCTAGTCATCCATCAGTTTCTACTTCCTATAATAACATTGAACATCTTTATCAATCAATGGGAGATTATAACATAACACTTGAATACTATCAAAAAACACAAAACTTCAAGAGAAATCTTTAGATCCAAATCATCCATCATTAGCTGCCACGTAAATCTCTCACACCAAATCATCTAACACTTATTATAACATACAACAATATTGGTGTCATGCATCAAATTATGCAAGAATATTCATTTGCACTCGAATGCTATACAAAGACGCTTGAGATTCAACAAAAAATACTTCCTCCTCATCATCCTGACTTAGCTACTATATATAATAATATTGGCATTCCATATGAATCAACGAAAGAATATTCAACAGCACTTGAAAACTATCAACCAGCTTTGAAAATTCATGAGAAAACTTTACTAACTAATCATCCTGACATCGCTGCTATTCATACTAGTATAGCAACTGCATTTGTTGGTTTGGAAGATTTACAAAAAGCTATCGACTATGAACAACATGCTGTTGATATTGCCAGTCAATGTCTTGCACTTGATCATCCTGATTTACAAACTTTTAAGAACTATCTTCAACGAATTCAGATTAAAATAGAATCCATTCAAAACAAACAGTATAGATTTTTATTTTTCAAGATCTGCGTTGTACATTTTCCCTCGACTGATAAGTAAAGCTTAGGAAATAAAATAAGTTTGTATCTATGTTGGTTTATTTGCATACACGTGTATAATCACGTATTCATATATATATATATTTCTCAAACATTAGACTAGTTATTTAAGATTTAAGATGGTTCACTTTTGTTGTAGTTTCAGTCCATCGCACGTTGTCGCTACTGTGCCCTCCGTCAGTCAGATTTTCGATGCGGGTGCGGATGTGGTTGTCCGATGTTTTACATATCGTGGGTGTGATGTGCAGGTGGATGTGTGGATCTTAGTGGGAGTGAGGGTGTGGATGTAAGCGTGAACTTGGGTCTTGGAATATGCTGGTGTAGTGTATGAGTGTGACGGTAGATGAGTTTGAACGTACTTGTAGGTGTACGAACGTGGGTGTGATTGGTTGTATAGGTGGGAACCAGTACTACACAGCATACTCACCTTCATCCATTCATTTGATATTAGTATCGATTGAGCTCACAAAATAGTATATTATACAGAAAGAATTAAGCATTTATTCGAGGGTCAAGAGACTCTCAATGACCAGCCTTGCTTTTACTTAATTGAGCAATAGAACTATTTGGATCAATATTTTGAAAATACAAAGAAAATTCCAGTTTAAGAATTTAGTTTTCATGCTACTAATTACATATAATCAAGGAAAGAAACGTAAAACAAATAAATAGAAGGTTATGGTTCGACTTGTTACTGCTTACAACAAATAGGTTTTGTTTTCGAGTGATTACCCAGCATCAAACAATAATAACTTTTTTGAAAGAAGAGAATCACTAGTAATCATTTTATAAAAATTAAGTTCTGGTTATTCAAACAAAAAATTATTTTCTGATAAATAAAATCTATATTAGTCTATAGATATGCAGAATGGCCAAAAAATGAGCAGTAACAGTTTCTTCTGAGTTCTTTCGCAGCTTCATCTTTGTTACAATCTCAGTAAGATACTATCCACAGTATTGTTCGCTCATGCATTCTTATCAATGAATAAATGGATGAAAATAACTGTATGACTGTAAAAAGTCTTGCAAGCATAAAAGAGACTGAATCGTCAAACTTTGATTGCTTGAGAAATCATCACAGCTCTCTTAGTAGTTTTCTAACAATTAAGAAATTCTTTTTTTTTTGGTTCCGGGATACTAGTAGCTTTTCTAAGGTTAATACTATTGTCGATGACTTGAAGACATCAGAAAATATTGCTCTACACTTCAACATTCGTTTTAAGTTGTGTTTCATAAGCAGTTCGTATGAATCGCAAAGAAATTTTTTGTTCAATCAAGATTTATGTTCGCTTCCATTGTTATTGATCATTATTTTAATCTGAATACATTATTTCAATGAAACACTATTTTATCTTCTAACAAAGATGTCTATTAATGCAATCATTAAATATTCAAAAATCAGGAAAAAAATCTTTTCTTAAAATCTTTTCTTCTAGATAAATACTTGAATTCTACCCATCAATAGTATGTTTCATGATATTTATTTTATTTAGATTTTTTTACCTTGTCATTCGAGATTTTCATTCGTTTCTATGATCAAGAAGATTATTGAGCTTAGTGATTTCTTATTTTACTATTGTTCTATATCAAGTTATTTAGTGGTTTCAACGATCATCTATATAGAACTCAACTCAAGTAGAATTGATAGTTTGCATGATGACTTATATTAATATGTTTTCCAGAAGTTATGAAAAAATATTTTATTATAGGATTAATTTGATCTAAAGACGATAGTGCATTAATTATTGATGTTAATTTTAAAGCAACTACTATGCCTTATTTATTATAATTGATTTTATATGATAGACTTCCGTGTTTTTCTTGAAAATGTTTATTTTTCAAATAAAATTTAATTAAATTCTTCAATTTATGAATTATTTTTCATGGAAACCAAATAATAAATATAAATTTGCGAATATCGAAAGTGAAAAGGAGGCGAATGTCCAACTTCTCTAGCAATCAAAAATTTTCATTAACATCATAAACAATGGGAAGAATTTGAATTTGATATTCTTTCATCGAAAAACTTCTTTTATCTTCGTCCCAATATCCAAATTCTTGCAGATGCCACTGATTAAATTATATCAAATTTATTTATAATATTTAAAAATTGGAGTTAGTAACAAGAAATATTCTTTTTTAAAAAAGATGTATAGAAAAACAAGATCGACGTCAACAATTTTTTTTTTTGAAATAAGAAAAACAGCATACTTTCAGATATTTTCAATAACATTTGACCTTTAGTAAGATTAAGAAAACTACTTTTCAATAAAATTGCATTATTGAATAAGTTGTTTAGTGTATAATTTTATTGAAAAACAATGCGAACGAAAGCAAAATAATATGTAATGAAGTTGAACAAAGTTATAAAGATTCTTGAATAACAAAAAAACATTATTTAATCTTCGAAATAAAGGGTCTTTTACAAAATCTTATTGTGATGTTTCACTCGAATTATTTTCTTCAGATTGCTGAACTGAATTATTATTGTTTGTCTCTTCTTTTGCTTCTTGTGAACGAAGATATTCTTTTTCGAGTTCTTGTCGTATTCTTTCCAATTCCTGAAGAGCCGCAATCTGGTCATCATCACCATCAGCCAAAGAAAGCATGTTATTTACTTTATCTTCAATGCTGTTATCATCATCAGACATTTTCGATCAACTAAAACAGGTTAAGTGCTAAATAATGTTTCTCGACAAAACATGTAAAAGATCACAAGAAAATCTTTCAAATTAAAAGAAAACAATTTATTTGGTAAGAAAATTTCTTCCAATATATCATATGTATTTAAAGTCATAGATAAAATTTCTGGACGAATTCTCTAAGTTGCATATTCAAGTGTATACCAAGAAACATTTAGTTATACTAACATACAATCACTTACTTTGTTCGATTGTAGTTTATATGTAATATGTGATATTGCTTCGTTATGGTTAACCTTTCTTTATATATGTTGTATGCTTAATGGAAGTGATTATGTTTACTAAAAAATCTATATATAGAAAAGAACGAATTGCTGTACTTCTTACCATGTCAACTGAATATTATTTAATGAAGATTGAAGGCTTCCAAGAAATTATATGAACGAATGCGTTTCTTCGAAGAATTACACTTTCATGAAAAATCAAATAATCTTACAGGCAAACAAGCTTATTAGTTTTTGCGATGACATATACCTGTGTGAGCTTGATATTATGATTCATATCCAGGCCTGAGAAGCTTGAAGAAATAACAACAAAACGAAGAAAAACCGGATCCTTTCGCAGGAGTCAAACCAAGTATCGCTTATCCGCTTTACGCACGTAAGAATACTTCCAATTTTAACCGATACCATTATTTATTTATTAGTAGATTTTTTTACTAAACAATTTTATAACACATCAGTTATCATTTGCTTTGATTTTGTATATGGTTTCGAAAAAAAGCAATTATTTGAAATTTTTGTCATTGGAAAGATTTCGTATGGGACTTTAGTAATAAGGTAGAAAATTCTTTTTTTTATGAAAAGAATTTTCTGTAGATCTTATGAACCAGCAAAGAAGGATAGCAAATATAAAGTAGAGAGAAAGTTCTTTATGTTCCTTTAAATGTCCATGAAAGATAAGCAAAAAGAAGACGTTAATTTTTAATTTTATCTTAGACAACACTAGTGTGTTAAAAATAATGTGTCGGAGATGAAAGAAAGTTTTAAAATGTTTTGCATATTTTGTCGAACTGTTTGACATGTCCGGTCCATAAAACCAAGATGAGTTATTTGTTGACTGACACTATATTAACAAAAAAATTATTAGAAATTCTTTCAATTTCATAGTGAAAATCTACAAAAGCTTTCTTTTAAATCACGATACACATGGTAAAAATGAAAGAAAGTTAGATACTCAAGTCGAGACTTTCGTTTTTAGATTAAAAGAAAAAGAAGTTAATTATATTTTTATATAGATGTATCGAAGTCCCATAGAGCTACTAGGTAGTATAACGACGTAAAAAAGAAACGCCTCAAGTGGCAAATGTCATCAAATAAATATTTATTCTTCAGTCGGTCGAGACTGACAGGAATCACGGGGCTTATTGCTTACGCATGCTGGTTATTTTTTCGCATTGCCGCTAGTATATCGCGGCACTCAAAAGAACCGATGGAACATCGATAATAGAGTGCCGGTCAGACAATAATCAACTATTTAAGTATCGAATTAATGCCAGTTGATTGCCAATGTATTACGGGTGTTAGCTGCTAACGATAAATATCGTTTGTATAGCGCACGTTATATCGAAGGATGTGTTGCTGACGACAGATAACAAATAATGAGGTAGCAGCAAACGTTCTCGACTAGTTTTTGAAAACTATTCAGATAATGCTGTTTTGCAAATTTGATTAGTGCGATTCGTTAGTTATCATAGAAAGAATTATAGAAGATGTTCATCATCGCTGCTAACACTCTATCGATTTATGACTCTATTAGCAATAAATATATAGAGTTCCTTTAGAGATTATGTAATATCGATATTGATCCCTTCATGTATTTTCACCAACTGACTACATAGTTATAAATATTACTTCGAGACATTGATCTGTTTCTTTTTAAGAGTTATTCTATTTTTTTACTAATAATGATCTATTTGAATATACGAATTAAGATTCTCAATGAAAAGAAATATATTCTGTTTGTCATAATAACTAAATTAGAAATGATTTAAATAAATATGAATCTATTTTCATTTATTAAGTTGAAATTGATCAGTAAGTTTATCATCCTCCGTATGATAATAGCTAAATGTTAAATGTGTTTTATTAGCTTGTATGTGAGTATATCCAAAGTATATATCATGATAAATACTTCATTGTGTGCCTGTATACGAACCATATGTCAAGTCATGTCCACCCATATCAATCAATACTGTGTTATTCCATCATCTATACATGTGTATTGATACATTGGACATGTTCGTTCATATGAATGAATATGTGCAAATAAATTGAGATCAACATGATAGCTGTAGAGAAGGACTTCTATGTAAAGTTGTAACATTACTTTACTTAAATCAATTCCTACTAATGATGAATACATAGGTCGATGTGAAGCAACAATTAACCATAGTGTACGAATACGATCGACTGAAGGAAGATCTTGTCCAAGCCATACATATTGTGGTGATAATCGATGAAAATTATGTTCAGTAGAATAATAAACTAGATGAACTGGTCCAATATCAAAACTATACCAAAAAAGTTTATTGCAATTCGATGAAGAATGAAAACGATTTACCATTGAAACAGCACATTCAACACCAGAATCATAACCATAATTGCCTCTAGAAGATTAAACATATTTTAATTCAAGAAAAGATTTTCTAGTCGATAATATAAACGAATATCATATACATATTTTATCATAATAATAAAGAATGAACGATCTAAGTTATGAATTTAATCTGATACTGACCATATAGGTTGAAATCCTCCGTCTCCTTGTTCTTCACTAGGATCTTTATCTCCTCCAGTAACATGATCGCATTCATGATTTCCAATTTCAACCATATATGGAATACGAGATGCTGTTGCTTCAATTTGACTCATAAATGCATTTCATAATGCACCAATGTGTAATATAGCTGTAACATTATTTGATAGAACTTTTGCTGATATTCGATCAATAGTAGCTCTAGCACCTGATTGAATAGGAGATACATCCATGTTACCATAAGTAATCAGATTTACTTCCTCATCAGTATTTGATGGTCAATTTATGAATCGATATATAGGTGACCAATCATGTTCATCATTACCCACTCGATAATGATAAATAGTTGATGGACGAAGATCATTAAGAAGCATGGTATGCATATATCCAGTCTTAATAAATGTTTGTGGGCCTCAGGGCTGGCCCGATAGGGGATTTTTGGGGTTGTGACAACCCCACAATAATCGAAAATTTTCGTTTTTACCCAGCAAAAATGAATTTTTTTTCGTGAGTAGTGTTAGAAAAAAGTTTTATTCGCATTAAAAATATCCGAAACAACCTCCCAAAAAATCGCGACAACCCCCCAATGTTTGCTGACTCAGGCTAGCCCTGGTGGGCCTGTTATATTAGCTCTTCCTTCGCACATATCCAATGCCTTATAAGTTATTGTTGTACCATTTACTTGAAAATGTAATGATGAGGAATCTAAACCATATGAACATTGAGGAATCATTTCGTTTGAATTAGTTACATACGAAACATAGATTTGATCATTTGGATCACCGAAAGCTAAATGAATTTGTGTTGGTTCATTGTAATGAAGTGGTTCAACGATCGGAGATTTTGCTATAAATGTATAATTACCAGAACAATTTTCATGGCGTGAATAATAACAAAATTCTAATTGACGACGTAAATTAATCATCAACTATGTTGAATTATCTTGGCCAGATTCTATAAATTCATAATCAACATAATCACAAGCACCTTATACAAAACACAAATTAAAATAACAATTTTTAAACTTATTAATAATTTAATTGGACTAGACCTTCTTTTTACCTGTTTTAACTGAATTTTCAACAAAATAAATTTCAATAAAATCATCTTTGCATAAATCTGATGATAATGGTGTCCAAGAAACATAAATCTCATCATTATTAGAATAATGTGTTGATGAAACTCTTAAATCACTTATTTCTACAACAGTTGAACGAACCAAATGAGAAACGATACCAATACTTCGATTAAAATTAAATGAACTTTGCCGAAAGGACCATTTACATTATAAATGTTCCGTACTTTGAATAGCAATAAGAAGAAAAATATACACTAACTGATACAGCAACATTATTGTGCAACTTTTATTTCTTTCTCATCTATTCTTAACAAAATATATATCATAATAAAAATAAACTGATAACATATTTTTTTAACAAAAAATATATGTAATGCAAAATTAATAAATACGAATATTCATACAACATAGATATTTCATGATTATACAAGATTTAAATGAAATATGATCTTTTATTTAATTATATTGTAAACAAAGATACGAACATTTAATGATGAAGGATTTTATACGATTTCGATCAGCTTCGAGAATTTTCGTTTTATCGAAAAAAAGTACGAAATATGATTGACGACAGTAGAATAATCGAAGCAGAAAGATTATTGACACTTCTTCAATTAAATGGTTAATTTTTTCATTTAAGTTCTTTTCATATTAATTTAAGCATTAGCTCATATTGAATTAACAATTATGCTATTCGAACTAAATTTTTTCTTTTTGAAAATCTCTTTTCATTTCTCGATTTCTATTTGATGAATAATAGTTCATATATAAATATTTTAAATCAATTCATTCATTGGTAAAATTGGTTTTGTTTTAGTTTGAATGATGACTTTGTTCATATACCAGAATAACCACATGTTATGCAAGTTACAATATCACGATTTCAATTCTCAACTTTTAAACAAATTAGTAAATGTTTCACTAGAAATTCTTGAATGTCTTTCTCTACAATATCAAATTTTGGAGCATGATTGGCTATATATTGAGTAATACTTATGATATTAAAATACGTTTTATTTCAATAAATTTTCATTGTTGATCGTAAGTACCTGTAATAAGTATCAATGATAGTATTGATTTCCGCTTCTAATAAATAATAATGAAATTGAATTATTTCCCAAAATATGATCAGACGATGCTTGTTTTCAGCTACGATTAGCTTGATGGCATATGGCTTCAAAATCTAATACATAATTATAATCAAATAGTTTACCAATAAATTTTGATCTTTACTACATTAACAAATAATTTATTCAGGGTTTAAGATAATATCACCATTGAAACACCTTTTTTTTGTTGATCGAACATAACAATGTAAGTATTTGATTGCATTAGATTAAATTACACGAACAATTCGCTCTTATTATTATTGAGATGAATCAGTCACTTGAATGCAGTGATAAAGTTCAATAATATACGGGCTCAGTTGTCTATATTATAAATTATGACTTGTTAGTAGCATAATTATTTTTAGAACGACTTGTTGCATGACGAATCCATAGACTAAATTAGAATCTTGTTTGATTTGGATAATTTCATTTGAGTATTTTCTTGTACTCTTAAACCGAAATTGAATAAAAATATCTGTTTATATCAATTTTTATGACCCTACCATTTTATGAATTAATATTTCAGCAAAAAACTAAAAGAACGAAAGAGAATGTTGATATTACAGATAAAAAAACTAAGAACATGTTCTTATGATATCAGCACGAGAGTGAGAGAAAAAAAAGTAACAAAAACAAAATAGTCATTGCATGAGATTGTTGACTCAGGGCAAATAGTAAAACTTACGAGAATATAGTTATTTATTATTAATTAAATAAAGTAAGTTTATTTTGTATGAAAGTAAGAAAATCGAACTCAATCAGTTTTACTCGAACTCTTCGTAGAATAATGAAAATTGAATCTCCTGTTTTTCTGAAAACATAATTCAATGTGACATAGAAACGAAAGTTTAAGGCTTGTCTTTATCAAAAACTAAACTATGAAGATTTAGTTTAATAGCTTAGTAACTAAAATACATGAAATATATTTTGACTGATATTGTTGAAAACGTTCTTTTGAAAAAAGAAAGAACATGCTGACCTTTGTTTTTCTGAAAAGATTGATTAGTCTGTGATCAATACTATTGTTTTATTGAAATATAATCTGCAATAAAACGTCGATTCTCTCCATCTCGCATTGCTACAGAATGTGTCGTTTGTCAAATAAGTTGTGTTTTTTTATCTGTAGACTCACGATAAAACACAATTTATTATTTTTCGACCTTAAACGAGTTTATTTTTTTGTTTTGCTTCTCACAATATATTCAAAGTGCAATTACTTGTCATTTTTCAAGGTAGTCTCAAAAATTATTTATTGACTATATTGTTTTATTATTAATTAATTAATTTTGTTTAAATTAATTGACGATTTAAATCCTATGATTTCATCGAATTCTTCAACTGCCACTGGCTTTGATGAAACAGTGAAAACAAGTGATGTCACTGTTCAAAGTTATCTCGGTAGACTTATTCTTCGAACTCATCATGAAGATGATACAGCCAGTCTTGCATCGATCTATTCAGATCCAATCTCAAGAAGATATCTTACTTTTCTTCAACCACCCAATGGATGGGGAAATGATGAGGAACGAAAAGAAAAAAAACAATGGACTGAACAAGATTTTGCTGATCGTGTTAAAGTACAAAATGAAAAACGAGTCAATGGAAAAAGTTGTGTTTTCAATATAATATTATTATCGTCAACATCGAATGAGAAAAATGATCGATGTATTGGAACAACAGGCTTTGTTACAATTGATGGTGATACTGGATATTTAGGAATAATTACAGATAAAAATACAATGCGAATGGGATACGCAACCGAAGCTCTTTATACTTCAATTGTTTTTGCATTTGAAAAACTTGGTATTAACAATATTATTATGCAAACTGATGAAAAAAATCAAGAAATGAGAGGATGGTGTGAGAATACCGCTGAATTAAAATTACATTCTAAGAACCTTATGGAAATCAATGGTCATACATTTACAGAATGTGAATATAAATTCAATATTGATGAATGGAATAATTCAATCAAGAATAAATTAGAAACTAAGTTGAATTATATTAAGAATAATAAAATCCTTCCATCAAACTCAACAGATCATTGACAAATCAATTCGCATTTTTATATACAAATTTCAAAATAAATAAACATATTTAAAACAAATAAAAGGTCTATACACTTTCACTACAATTATATATATATATCATTCGAAATCTATCAAATGTTTACACTGATCAATCTATTTTTTTTTGTTAGTTTAAATTAAATCAATAACACAGTTTGCAAAACCAGCAGACAATTATTTAATCACAGTCACTTTTGTCACTCTGTATATGATTGCTATGTGAGAAAAAGCAATGAATAATTAACTTTATCTTTTTGTTTAAAAAAAAACTGGTCAATGACTAGTTATCCAAGAATCTTCATTAGTAATATTGTAATAAATGCTAGAAAACTCAATATTTTTAAGGCTTTCGAAACTGTATTACTTCCATGAGAAACACAATTTACTTATGACTATAATCTATGTCAGGATAGTCCTCAGGTGTTGTATCCAAGTAGCCATTTTTTTCTGAAGAAATAAAACAAAAGTTGCCCGTTGAGTATGAAGATTTGAGAAACCAATTGTGATTGTTATTTGAACTTCTACTGAGAAAAATTATTGATTCTTACGAGGAGAATAAATAATATACATAATCTGTTTATGCAAACCTTTAAAAAAATAATATTCAGCGTTGACCACGCACTTTTACTGCCAATAATTTTTTCAAAATGGATTTGGCATGACTTTTTTTTTTACACAACTTTTAACTCAATGTCATGAAAGGAAATAATTTTAAATGAATAGGACAAAAAAAATCCGCAATATAAATTATACTCTTACCAAAATCCTTAGTTTTCTCAGTAAGAGAAGTTCGGAAGTTCAGATAAAAATCAAAACCGTCTCCCGAATCTTCATATTCAGCGATCAACTCTGATTTTGTCCCTTCATGAAAAATTGATACTTGGATACAATTTTTAAAGACGATTATAACATAGATCTTGTTCATAAATAAATCATATTCCTAATGGAAGCAATCAGACATTGGAGAAAACCCTCTTGCTTTTTAAACTGTTCATCATATTGATGAGTATCTATTCTCAAAATTCTAGCCTTCTGACATTGAAAATAGAAAAACTCCAAGAAATCAAGTGTAAGTTAGATAGACTCTTTGAATCGGAATTTGGAACTGGCCAAGACATCTTTTTAAATTTTTTCAAGATGATTTTTGGCATTAGGACATAGAGTTTTATTACTCCTATAAGTTGAAAACACTTCGGATGAAGTTCATATAATTGTGGCTTGTTAATCAAAAACTTATGTAATTGTTAAGTTTATACTTACAGAATAAATATTTCTTGTAAATTATGATGCAGCGCCATCTATCTGTATCATTTTGTAGTTGTTTATTGTTGTTAGCCATCCTTTGCTTTGACAGTGAGAAATGAAATATATACTTTTTCATAGATCACATCCAAAACTAGGAGTTTAGGCAGCTCTTATATTTTTGTTCCTTTCGTCTATGAAAATATAAAGATGTATAAAAAACGTCATAGATTATGTATATTTTACTCGATGACCGTATTGTTGTTTCTATTTTTACTTGTTCTCTTCATTGAAAAAACGTAGTTTCACTTATATTGCATATAAATGTAAAGGAGATCGTGATCATGTCAAGATGTTATCTTATATTGAATTTCTTTACGTTTTCTCATTTGTTTGTACATTAATTTTCTCGCTTAATGTTTTTGCTTCTGACTGTGATCCTTCTATTACTTATCCACCTTTAAATCGACCTGGTCCATCGTATACTGTTCCACGTTCAAATTTATCCAACTATTTAAAATGTTATAAAGGTGAAAATCATCGAAAACGATGGATTTTATTTGTTCCAGGCTCAACAGAAGAAGTAAAAGAATTGTACAGTTGGAATTGGATGCGAATAATGGATAAAAAACGATGGTCTTATTGTACAGTACAATTACCAGAAAAAGGTTTAGGCGATTTACAAGTGGCTGCAGAATATATTGTATTTGCGATTAGAAAAATGTACAAAAAGACAACTAGAGAAAAAGAAAAGGGTTAGCTTTTTTTTGATTGATACCAATAAAATGAAGAATTGTTCTTTTATTTTTTGAAAAGGTATTCGTAATAAAACGAAGATTAATATAATCGGTCATTCTCTTGGTGGTACTCTTCCTCGTTTTGCATTTCGGTTTTGGCCCGATATTCGACTTATGGTAAATCATTTGATTGCCTTTGGACCAACAAATCATGGAACAATTATGGCTGATAAAGCGTGTAGTCTACTTCATTGTCCTATTGCTGTTACTCAACAAAGAATCAATTCTTCATTTCTTTGTGCACTTAATTCATATCAAGAAACATTTTCTTCAATCAAATACACAAATATTTTATCGAAATTTGATGAAATTGTTCGACCATTGAATGGTAGCGAAATAAATGAAAAAAATGTAACAAATATTTATATTCAAGATCTTTGCCCATTTCGAGTATTTGCTGAACATCTTGGTGCAGGAATTTATGATTATTGTGGTTATATTTTAACAATGAATGCATTACGTTCTCGATCATTAAATAATATATCAGCAGAAAAATGTTGTTCGAAGACATTAATGCCTGGTATAAATATATCGAAGACAGAATTTCTTTCTAAAGTTGCTTATTCAGCTGAAGAACATGCACGACATTTGCTTATCAATTTTGGTGAAGTAAATGAAGAACCAGAACTTAGATGTCCATTTCGAACTGATTGTATTATAGGAAGAAGAAAAGTAAAAAGAACAAAACTACGATAATGATCTGTTATGTTACATGTTCTAAATTTTTTTCTATGAAAATAATCTAGCAATAAGTATTGACAATTGAACAAATAAACAAGCAAAATTTCTGATATATGTAATTGTGAAATACGAATAAAATAATAATTAAAAAGCTTCTCTTTGTCAATCGAGATTTATTTTCTATCATGATTCATGTTTTATTTTTCTACTTATTTGACAGAACAAACAATATATGAACGAAATGTTTCAGACGATGCAAAAAAGACTTTGTTTTTAACTGATAAAAACTTGATTTTTTTTAAATAAAAATCTCAATCTCGATATATTTATCTATTAGCAATCTATCGTACAAAGGGTTTTACTCTACAAAAGAAAATTTCTCCAGATGAAAATGCACACAATGATGTAAAACGAAGGATCGTACAAAGAGCCAGTAATCACCCGTTTGATAGAGACAGTATTACGATTGTATGACACCCTGTTGTATACACACCTCTGTTATACTGATATCCTTATCATAATACGGTAGCATTCTGATGGTTACAACTTTGTATCCATGTCAACCATCGTATTAAGTGTAAAAAGGAAACAAGGCACCCATGAGTGAGAATCTACTTCTTTTTATCGCCCAGATCGATGACTCATCATTCCAGATTCCATAAGAAATGAAACAAACAGTTACATTTCGAAAACAAAGCCTTTTAATGTCTTTTCACTAACAAAATATCTTGTATAAACATGGTGCTTAAAAAAAAATCTTTCAACATCTTTTTTTACTCAAAAGCTGTTTCAGTTTTGAAAAAGTTTATAGAATAAAGTTTTGGTTAAAAATGTCATTTTTCTTGATAGATAAATCTTTTCATCCGATAATAACTTTAAAATCAAATAGCTTTCCAGGACGAAGTCTTGAAAAGTATAGAAAATTTTCGTTAAGTACTACTATTTAAATATAGACTATGATGATATGAAAGGTCTTTTGCGCAAAAATTCGAACCGGTTTGAAAAATAAAACTTTTAAAACTATCGACAGTTTTCTATGATTTCCTGTCTTTGTACATATTGTGAATAATATTTGTAAAATGATGTTTATTATCTTCATTCTATTGATTGAAAATGTTCATCCATTAGAAAAATTTCTTTAAAATTCTAGTATATTTCACTTCAGGTCATATTAATTCAAATAACAGAATATCAATTTGAGCAAAACTCTAAGTCAAAATTATCGTTGTTAAGTACCATTCTGAATAGTATGTATGATTGACATCACTTAGTACACATCAAAAAAGAATAAAATTTTGACAAAAAATATACAAAAAGAAATTAATTAAGTTTTACTTCAATAAACATTCGAAGTACTGCCACTGATTATTGATAAAACAATAGCTTTCGTTGAAGTCGTTTATTCAGTGACTTGTCTACTCATCTTTTCTTGACAGATTAAGCGCCCTGGCTTTGACACAGTGCAATGATTCAGAGTTATATTGATAGTTTTAATTTTGTTTGACTACACAGTACAATCAAAATTAACATAGTATTGTGTAGATCAGAAGACTGTAGGTGATGATCGAATGATTCCTATGTGTTTCGATTTTAGAGTGTCATACATATCTTTATTAACATATAACTTGACACTAGTGTGATGTGAGACTATATGCCTATCTAGACCTTTTCAGTCATATGCAATCACCTATCATTATTGAAAGATACAATGAATACTCACACAAAAGCCACCACTGTTCACGACTATCCAAAATAATCAGCAGAAAATCTTGTCTGCTAGCTATCTAAACTAAAAAGTAATACCCATCCAATAATGGTTATATGATTGATTTATAGTAGATCAGTACATCTCGAGTCTGTACGTTTTCATAGCAGAAGTAGCCAGTAGACAAGATTTTTTGAGCTTTGTTGGTGATTATAAGCGGTCATAACTGTTCGTGTGAATTTTGGTTTTATTTTTGAATAGTCGTGATTAATCGCGTACTCTGCAAGCTGTCGTAATCAGCAAATAATCCCATATGAAGTAACTGTTCTAATATAGATTTGACTTTTGTTCACTAATTGCGTGTCTCACAAGAACCACGCGTTGAACATCAGGTGTCTCATTATGTATCAAGCGAGAGGTAATTTGTTTCTTAATTTTAGACGGTCAAAACTGATTCTTCTTAATTTGTTCTCGATGATATCAGTGTTCATTTTGATTTTGTCAATCGTGAGATGAGTATAATCACCGATAAGGCAACAAACTTCATCGATATTTTCATTTGAGTCCTTATTACAGATCGAAGAAAGCATATCATATTCGATCACTTCGCGCTTTATTGTAACGACACCAGTTGACATACTTTACAACAATATCATATGATGAAAGCTAACCGCCAAAAACAGAATATGGTTCATAATGAACTCATTTTCCTTATTGATTAAGTTTAATATTCATTTTAGTGTGCAAATGAAAAGTCTTCGTATTCATCTGAAAATAGGACTACATAGTTTGCATTTGAATTTATATAGTTATGTCGATTCAATAATGACCATGAAGCAGATATAGATATAGGACTCTGAGGATTATAAGCATCTATGAACGAAAATTCTTTGTCAAGCTTCTGTTACTATGATATAATACGAATCTCGACATTTTCACAGTATAACCTATGTGGAAATTTTATGAAAAAGTAAAATAATGTTCTTATATTTGAAATTTAATATCGTTTGATTTGTTTAACACTTTAATAACACATTGTTGAGTCTTTATGTTAACATAAGAAATATGTAGAAAAAAAGAAGAAGAAGCATGAATTCATGAATACAAACTAAATAGTAGAAGGAAAATATTTCATAGAAAAGCAATAAAGTTATCAAATAGCCAAGAAACATTGATTCAGATCATTTTATTGAAATTTGATTCTACATTAGAAAATATTCGTTCGTAGAACTAAATATATCTTTTTATAGTGTCAAATTTCACTTACTGCCGTTGAAAATGAAAGTAACATTAAATATAGTAAATAGAAATAGAAATTAGATGAATAGATAACACAAAGATTGAATAAAAAGAAACAGATCATGAAAAGAACATATATGTGTGTAGACTTGACAATAAACGAAATCTTAGAATAGTTTATGTTCTGCCCAAGCTTTACGAATTTTAATTGGATGGTTGATGCTATTTGCCATTTTTCTCTTCGATAGATTGTTGTTCTTCAAGAATTTTTTCTTGAATCATACGTTGCATTTTTTCAAATTCTGCACGAGCCTCATCTTCTTTTTTTTCATCACACAGATCATTATATTTGTGTTCACTCGCTTGAAGATCTGCACCATCTCCGCCAGGCATATTTTATTTATAGATAATACAACTGCTTCTAAAAAGTATTGTTTCAAACAAATTATGTAATATAAATAATAGAATGATCTTTTAGATTTAAAAAAAAAATATCAGTTTATATTAAAAAATGCTAATTGGGATATATCAATAAACAGAACTCATACAAATGTTTCTAGATGTGAATAAGCATAAGTTTTCAATAGAGTACATATAGAAAGAGTTTTAATCTAAGCTATTCGCCCTAATGCATCCTCATAGTTGTGTTTTTCTTAGTGAGCAATTGTATTGATCGATTATTGAAAAGTGAAACACTAAGCAACACAATGTGCCTTTAACAAGTTATATAACAGGAAAAGTAAATGTCTCTTAATAAGATTTAACGCTAGATTGAAACATGAAAAGTAAAAATCTTGTAGTTTCTACTAATATTTGAAAATTGGGTGTGGGTGTGGACACACCTGTATGTTCTCTGTTACTCACTCTCACAGTCACACTCACGCTCACACCCACCAACACCCCACCACACCCACAAACACTCCACTCCACCACACACACACACCCTCATTCATTATTCAAACCACTTTTTTAGAACTAAAGTTAAATGGTTGGTATTAGGGAGGAGAGATTCTTTTAAATTAACTGTAAATTAAGTTCAATGTTTCTACTGAACACTTGATGTTAATAAAAAAAACTTTTAGCAGTCACCACTTAATTTCTTAATATTAGGTGTCAAATAAAAACTTAATCTTAAAATTAAATTGAAGTTTTTCACTTTAACAGTTAATTCACTTGAAAATAAGTGATTAAATGGTTGGTATGAAGAAGATTCCATTTTCATTTAATTATCTATGTAACAGCTGCAACTCAACAGCTCGCATGAGATGGATAACGCACTCTCTTTATACGAGTTATTTGATAACTTTTCTAGGACTAACTAAGGATGTTTTCTGCAACTTTTTAAGGACTATGCAGCCTAGTCTCTGTAAATTTTTTAGGACTAGGATTGTCATAATATCAACACCACCTATAAGAATGTCATTTGGTGTTGATGGATATTGACATTGATAGTTTACCAAGAAAAATCAAACCCTCAATTTCGAGAAACCAACTATAGATTCGGATTCCTCGACCTCGGAAGCCTTTGATCAAACTTTATAAAAAAAAAGCGTTATTTTCGCAAAAAGTCCTTTTTTTGATCAAAAAATGAAGATTCTGCAATTGTTCCCCCGGTATGTGCAAGTTTGATTTTCTTTGACATGGAAAAGTTATTTTTCAAAAATGGCAGTTTTCTATAAAGTTTAATCAAGGATTTCTAGAGTCGGGTAATTCGAATCTATAATTGCTTTCTTGAAAATGAAGATTTAAATTTACTTGGTCAGGTACCTATAGGGTGTTGGTCTTATTTAGGGATGTACAACATACGCTCATGCCCATGAGCTGTAAACACGAACATGAGCGTTTCTTCTGTACTTTAAACATGTCAGTCATCGGTATGAATCAATCCGTTTTTGCTTGTATTCATTAGGGTTGCACATTTTAAGCTCGTGAGCGCCCTAGTAAGCTCTCATCAGCATGAGCTGTACACCCTTAAGATAGAGCAACCAGGTCCCAGGAAGTTGTTTCTTACCTAGTTTAGGGACGAACCATACTGTTGTTTGGGTCCTATGAAAGAGGAAATATGATAAGCCCTGGATCGGCCCGAACAAAACTATGCTTTGCCCTTACCAGAGGTAAGAAAAATTCTGCTGAAATCTGATTGATAAAACGAAAAAAGCTATCAACCGGTCAGATGTCACTAGGGTTTTCTTTTCTATTGTCAGGATTAAGCGTAGTGTTGTTCAAGCACATCAGAGGATTATCAAAGGTCCTCTTTCATATGCCTCAAACAAAAGTATATTTTATCCTTACAATAGCTGAGAAACAGCTTTCTCGAATCTGATTAGACGATACTAGGGGTACACAACTTGCGTTCATGAGCGTGACCGAATGTTTCGAATGACAAATGTATAGACATCTGCAGCTATAGAAGTATACGCTGCTCTACTCTTGTTTCAAAAGGTAGAGTCTACAATTTACACTTTGCAGGGGAAATTTAAAAACCACTTTTAGTCCAAAAATTATGCTTAAACAATGGATAGATAGTGATCTATTTTGATTTGTTCTATCATACGTTGAATGACATAAGTTTTTCTGATTTCTTTTCTATCTATTTTCTTTTTTCAGCTTTATGCTAGTTCGCCTCTCGTGTTCATCTAGTGGCTGCAGAATAATTTCAGATATAAAAGTAATTGCTAAAATCTTCGGTGACAGTTCTGCTCTTGAAAATACCTTGGAAAGTAACATTTTCTTCTAAAATAGTGCAATGTTTGAAGTGCAAGTTTCGTACTAGCCATACTTTTCCAGAACAAACTTGAGTAGAAGAGAAATCCAAAAATCAAGCACCCCTAAGGAAAAGTTCTTGCAATGCTCTTCCAGCTTGAAAAATGTATGTTTCAGCATTGTCTGAGACTACATGGATTAAATTTTTACAAAAAAAGTACACCAAACAGTAGGGCATTCAAAACTCGATCGATATAAACAGTGTTAAAAATTTTACATCCATTCTTGACTCTTTAATCGAAAAAATTTGAGCACTGGATTTTCTTAACAAAAACTTTTCCCAAGAACTAACAATCTAAAAGGATATTAGTGTGCCATCTCCGAAAACTACATATGAAGTTGATTTATTTCGTATTATTCATTCGCAATATATTAGAGCATAGGAACTTAAGAGAAAAAAATTGTTCAATGAATACTTTTTACCGCTATAAAGAGAGGAGATGGTAAGAACAACTAAATTGTTTAGTTTCTTTCAGAAAGAGCAATGCGTTTATATTAAAACTATCATCAAGTTCATTTTTGAATATACAATCAGAAACAGCGCCCTTAGGCTACCAAAACTTATCATTGAAACTGTTTTTTCCTTTTCTTCCAATATTAAGAGAATTAGTAGGAATAAAAAATTGATACTAGTCGCTAACAAAATTTCAAAAGTTGTTTTAGAAGTGTTCGGTTTTAAGCTTTTTCTCTGTCTTAAATTCGTTCTGGAAAAACATTCTCAATGAAAAATTTGTAGTTCAGACTTTGCTCTTTTTAAAGAAAAAAAAACGGTTACTCTTCAAGATGTTCCTCAGTACTAAACTATGGCAGAAGATTGTGGCAATCACCTTTACATATTGGATTAAAATTGAAAATTAAAACAGATTCAATTTAGTTTTGTTCAAACCATGCTGCTGTGTATGATGATAACGATGAACACGATAGTTTTGATTGACATGCGATTATTTTGAATTTTGAAAATAGTAATTCGTAGATTCTCATGTTTATGCGGTGATATTCTAATGGCGTACTTTGATGTGATCAATCTTCCTAAATGAATCGAATACGAATCGCTTCTTTCTTCCTCTCTATTTGTTTGTTTCATATTGATGTATCTTATGACATGGTCAATAAGGTATGAATATTTTTTATTTTTTTAACATTCCATGAAAATGTGACTTGGCACACTATGGTACATTTTGTCCATATGAAACAGAGTGTACTGTAAATTTTATTTTAGATTTTCATTAGAAACACCGGTGTGACCTAGAAACCTCTAGTATTACTATATTCCTATTTAGGGATGATTCTGAACTAGTTGAAGCAGATCATATTCAGTTTATTTGGTTTAATTAAGTCAAATTAAACAAAAAGGTTCACTCCTACTTTGGTATCGTAGGAAAAAAATTGAAAATACCTCAGTCTTAGACTTTTACCGAGTAAATGCACATGGCCTATGTCAAAGATTCTAAAAATGTTATATAATCTGCATATACAAATCTATAGGAACAAGCTTTTTTACTTATACTATTATGTGTTTACTACCTACTTTGTCCGAATACAACACGAAATAAGATGTGATATTATTTCATTACATATAAGCTTCCTTTTTATATATTTAGTACTTGGAAATTGCCGTACCTAGGAAAAATCTTATTTACTTGGAAGCACGAAAAAATTTATTTTGAGTCAAGGGAAAATCCCATTGTACTACACAGCCTCTACTAAATGAAATCTGGAAATTTCCGACATTGAGTTTAGTAAAGCTGATTCTGCGAAAACTTATACTTCCAAGACACCTTTAAATTTAGCAGAGACAGGTCAAGTAGTGTATTTTTCGTCGAAATATGCTCTTCAGATTTTGAACTTACAATTTTTATCATGGTTCAATAGATTTTTACTTATATCTATGTATTTAACAAGTCAAGAAGTATATTCGATTTTTCCTATGTTTTTTTGAGTAACTATTAAACAAATTTTGATTGTTACACCAGTTTTGTTGTGAATACTTGTCCTAACCTTAACAAGAAGTGTTTATTTTTTTTGATCAATATAAAATAATAATAAGCAGAAAATTTAGAAAAACTTTTCATAATGAATCAAATACTAAAATCTATAATTTGTCGTTTTATCTGATCAGCGCATGAGAAAATATTTTACTTGGTAGAAATAATAAATCGTAGAAGCACTTACTTTCTATTATCAGAAAAGTGCATTATGAATTCTACTATATACCTTGATTTCTATTCTGTTTTTCGCCGAAAAATCAGTAAATAGCTCATTTATTACACTTCTTTGTTCTTATGACGACGACAGAAAAAGAAAAGAACGACCTGAAAAATCTTTCCAACTTACGTTGACCCAGACGCCTTGAAACCTCGACGGCGCATAGGAAGTGACAGAATGAAAAAAGAAAACAAGCCATCAGAAGTGACAAAAATAGTCGATTATTTGGTCGTTATGTAGTGTTGGAAAGATTGCCAGAAGTCATCAAAGCCTCTCTGCTACATTTTCTACACATGAAAAAGTGTATACGGGTACGTTAGACAACACATTTTTGATTAATTCTTCCTTCTTTTCACATATATAAAACGATGTAGAATAAAAAAAGAATCATAAGATAAAAGGTGACAGATATATTTATAGTTTGTTGAACTAATTATTTTTTCTTGTTCCATTTTAGATGAATTATCAGATAGTTGCCGTATGGATCATAAAAAAATCTCGTTTTCCTTAGTCTTGATCTAAATTTTCAAATATTGATTCGTACAGATAAGATATGCTAGGCTTTATCAGTAGTAAATACAATCACATACAGAAATTCAGAAAGTCTGAGTATATAACCACTATGATAAAGGGATTATATTCTTTGAAAACATTGAGTATCAAAGAATCAATCCATTGTCAAAGTAAAATACAAGTTTAACTATTAAAAAAACATTATCTTATCTAACAAAGCTATATAAAACATTCTTTTTTTTTAATCTCAAAAAGCTCTAAGAAACCGAATATTCAGCTTGCATGACAAAATTGTAAACAATTTAATAGTTTATTTTATGCAAGAAAATTCAACAGTAAATTTATATTTCAAATCACATTTATATAAATTGGATAACATTGATTTGTTTTTTTTTTTTTTTATAGAAATAGATTGATATTTTATTTCAACACTAAAATCACTTAATAATCACTTTTTATAGTAATATTACTATTATTGAAGTTCTAGTTTATGACATATATAAGGATGTAATATAAGTTCTAAAATCTTTTTTATTTTTTTAGACAAATTTAAGGCTTTCTATCTCGTGAATGGAAAAAGATATGAGTCTGAAATTTTTAGTATCGATAGATCTCTATGAGTTCTATTGATATTAAAAATTTCAGACTCATATCTCTTTCCATTCACGAGATAGAAAACTTCAAGTTCGCCTAAAAAAATAAAAAAATTCTCAGAACTAATGTTATAATTCAATATAAAAATAGAAAGTCACATAAAATTAGCAGAATATTGCAGTGCTGTCTGTGCGTCAAGAAAACATAAATTTGCCAAACCAAAATCGCCATTTTTTTGATGTTCTAAACCTTGATTGTAATAACAAAGCATTGTCTTTGTATATAAATGACGCATCAATTGTCTTCTATTATTGATTTCAATCATATTCTCAAATATAAGACCATCAAACCATTCTCTAATATCTTGATCTTCATCATTATTACAAACATATAATGTATCAATTTCATAATTCATTAATAATGTATCTATTTCAGTTAGACGATTGGAGTTACATACAATTACTATAAGTGATTCGTGATAGTTGTTCAAAGCAGTTCTTAACTGATTGGCAGATTGACAATGTATTATTGCTGTTTGTAACTGATCATTTCTTAAATCAGGTAATCCATATATTAATATTTTAAAATTTCGTACTAAATAATCAAAAAAATTAGATTATTTACACATTATGCTTTATGATAAGAAAATGGACAACATTTCTTTTTATTTTAAATTATCTTAGAAGTATTTTTTAGAACAAAATCAATTTGTTGAATTTCTAATAATTTTATGAAATAAATTCTCTGTTGAAACCCATGTGTCTATGTTTCGGAGAATGTTACATAGATATTCAAAAGATAAAATGAAACATTGTTTTGTTTATCAAAAGATAATTCGCAGAAATAAAAAGTTCTTTGTGAGATATTAGTAATTTAGAGGCATAACTCAATAGGCTGAATCACTGTTACGACCAACGCTCGCACAGTCAAACTGATCTGCCACCATCAGTAAACATCATTACTGATAACTACAACAGCTGTATTGATCGACAAATTGACCGACATCTCTATTAACAACTTCTATAAAAAAAACAACACATTCGTTTACTCTCGACGTATGCTGAGTCCATATAAGGTCTCTATTTTGTTCCTTTTTTTTTCTTTGTCTATGACTGTATTGTTCTTCGTATACAGCCACAGGGATATATCATCGTTATACTTCGTTTTCAGATGTTTGCGTACTCTATAATTATGAAACTCGATGTAATTTAATTATTTACCTGGCATTGCTAATTAATTAATTGATAGAATACAAATGGATAAATTTGATATATATTCGTTAGAGATATCTACAAAAGAAAAAGTTCTTTTTATTTCCGTTGTTAAATAGAAAATATTCATCAAGCAATAAAAAACAATCCAAATTAAAAGATAATTTTTTGACAAAATTTGAATGAAACTAAATTTCGGTTGAAGAAATAACTCTTTATCTACTGGCAAAATCAATGCTAAAAAACTCTTAATGAATAAAATATCTTTATCTCCTTATTACTGACGTCGAATCGTAATAAATTTCAATGTAAAGTATATAAATGATTATTATATACTTTAGATATTTCAAAAAATGAGAAAAATAACTGTACTAGTAACGAATAGAATTAGATGACAAGATTTTTAGTCACCAACTTTTATCATCATTTATTTCAAATAATTATTTGTCAATAAAGTCTTCTTACTGCTTCAGGCTGACAAAACTTCATACTCACTCCGTGGTGTTACCCACTTTCAATCATACTAATTGGTAAAGGATCTCATTACCCTTAACGAGAACCATAGTATAGTGTACAAAACAAAAAATATAAATTACAATATTAACCTGGGAAATAATATCTTTGGTACTTCTTCGGATCAATGATATCATGGTATCTACAATCTTTAATGTATTCAGCTAGTTAGACCCATCGATTTACAACACGTTGTCAATCTGGAGACGAACGATATTTTGAAATGGATATGTAGTTTTTCTACAGGTAAGCACATCCCATTCACCCATTGCTTTGACCCTGAAGTGATAGAAAAAAAAACTTGATGATCAAAGCTATTTTTTCTCAATAGAAGTACTAGGGGTGGTGCATTAGAATTAACATTAGCATTTATTAATACTAATTCTAATGCTTTAGCATTATTTTTAACACTAATACTTGGATTTGGAAAACAGTAGAAAATTGTTCTATTTTTGGGAATATGACGCATCGATGACTCATCAGTGCGGCATCAATGAGTCATACTTTCTCAAAACAGAACAATTTTCTACTGTTTTTCGAATTCAAGTATTAGTGTTATAAAAATAATGCTAATTTAATGCAAACACCTATGCATTACTTAACACTAATGCCAATAATGCTAAAGCATTAGGCTTAATTTTAATACTAATACTTAAAGCATTAGCATTTTTGTAATACTAATGCTAATTTACCACCCCTAAGAAGTACTGGTTTATTTTATAAATAATATTTTTTTTTTTATTTTCTATAAAACTCTATTCAATTTCTATTATTTTTTCACCATTTTTAAATGAGTTATGTTCTAATTGTTTAAATCTTGTATTAATTTTTGATAAGTATTCATATGAGCGTTCCTGTGAAAATAACTTATTCTATTTCTAATGAACAAATTTAGACAATGATAAAGAAATCGTTTGTCATATATTTTAGGCAACATAAATGATTAAAAACTGATTCGATTCGTTATTTAATCATTCTTAAAATATGTAGCATTTATTATCATTCTATTATCGCTACTATGTTTAACTTTCAAGACTTTGTGATATATATTGACAATTTAAAAAAACATAAATAAGTAAATTTTATCTATTATCAGTGATGACCAGTTTTAACCGTGCTAAAAGGTCTCATCAGATAAATTTTAGATGTCCGGACTTGTCATCATCATAATAATAACTAAATAAATCGTGTAGTCACTATATAAACTAATTATAGTTATATAGTATACACATATTACACTAGATTTTGTTCTAATTACACTAAAAAGGAACCTGTTATTATTGGTGATAAGTCCTAATATCTGAAAGTCATCTGATGAGACCTTTCAGAAAGGTGGAAACCGGTCATGACTGCTAATAGACTTTAAAAAACTAAAAATAATAATTTTTTTTTGTCATCAAAGGCTTGTGCCTTTCATTATTGCACGGTATTTCGAAATTTCATCGAATAAATAAACTTGTTTAACTGTACTACCTATAAAACTTAATCAAATAATTTTTTTTTCAAACGATAGGGGTATTACTTTGAAGTTTTTATTTATGAGAACAAATTTTAGAAACATTGTTCTATTCAAACTTATTACTTTCAACTTAAATACAAAGATTAGTCTTTTATCGATTTCAGATAAAAAATAATACTTAGCATTGTTAGTCTTTTAATGTTTCAACTTCTTGCATTTTTTATGGCGTTTATATCGAACAGATTTATCATCATCGTTTATATGCATGTGTGTTAATATCGTACTGGAAAAAGAATTCTAACCATATCAAGTCTGATGATCACGAAGCTCATAAAATTGCTTTAACTGTTCGAAAGGTGACGAGAACCCTCGAAGACGTGAATCGATCTCATGAATTTCATGATCATTGGACTTGATACTAATAAGCTTCTTTTTGCAGTCAAATATTTCAAACAAATGCATATAAATAATAGTACTACGTTTGACCGATATAAACGCTACAAAATACAAAAAAAGCAAGAACTTTCAGCATTAAAAGAAAAATACTACGAAGTATTTTTTCTTGAAACCGAAAAAAGACTGACAGGGGAACGTATCCAACTGTCGGAACGCTTTCGAGCCAAGAGCGGGCTCCCCATGTGATGAAAACCGGCGGTTAACCGGAGAGAACCGCGCTGAACCGACGATTTTTCTCGCTTTACCGGCTCCCTACCGGTTAACCAGTATTTTTTAATGGTGAGCCGCGGTAAACCGGCGATTTTTGCCGGTAAACCGCGGTTTACCGCTAAAACTGATCCGGTTTTTGTGACATGGATCATCTTGTAGAGCTCAATGAACTATGTTTACCCTGAAAATGGTTCGGCCCATGGCCTGTTTTTGAGGAGATCAAATGTTCTTAGTATTACAGCTGGATATTTTTATGATATCTCAACCGCATTGCATCAAAATGATCTTCAATTTTGACAAAATCTTTAGCGTTTGTAGAGCTTTTAATTCTAAGAATTTTCAAAAAAAAAAAAATTTTCAAAACGCTTTTATTTTGATGTAGATAGACTCAAAACACTTTAGCTGGTAAAACCCTAGAAAAACTCAAGAAATTTCTTTTTGACAACAGTGTTTGAAAATTTTTCGCTGAAATTATTTGGAGCGTTTCTCCATCAAAACAAAAGCGTCTTGAAAAATTGTTTTTATGAAAATGCTTAGAATTAAAAGCTCTACAAACGCGAAAGATTTTGTCAAAATTGGAGATCATTTTGATACAATTTGGTTGAAATATCATAAAAATATCCAGCTGTAACACTAAAAACATTCGATCTCCTCGGAAACAGGCCATGGGCTGAACTCTTCTCAGAGTAAACATAGTTCACTGAGCTGTACAAGATGAGTCCACTCTTGACTCGAAAGCGTTCCGACAGTTAGATATGTTCCCTCGTGAGTTTTGTATTTTACTCGAAAGTAGCACCTATCATTTGAAAAACAATACAGTTAATTAAGTTTGATAAATAGTGAAATTATAAGCATTTACTTTTTCGACGAACTTTTCTAACATTGTATATTTGTCATTTTCATTGAAAATATCTACAATAAAAAAAAATTTCAGTTAAATAACGTTCAAACAATAGTGACGTCACACAAAAACTGTTTAAAAAAACTGTATTCTATTGTTTATATGGTGTAAGATGCTGTCTATTATGAAAAAAAAAACAAAAATATGAATTTATCATTGAAATATTTCTTTCAATAGAACACTATTTTGAAATACTACAAACTCATCTATGTTATGTCCTGTTTCATCTTGGTGTTGTAATAACAGCAACGAAAAACTTACTCATTTCAATGTGATGAATCATGTATGGACTATAATGCCTCGAATGTACTAATTTTTTTTCAATACTTATTTCTAGCTATACATTGTAAGCATTCTTTTATATCTGATTCGTTATTTAAGATTGATATATATGTATAGTTCGAATCAGGAACGTCTTGGTAAACAGTGAACGAGTGACAGTTCTTGTCCAGATCGATGACACCCTACATACTATCTAGTCTAACTTAAAGCACATAAAAGAGTGTGGACGTCAACATATCGTTTATCTTGAGAAGCACTAAGATATTCGCAAATAAAGAAAAACCATTCTAAAATAATAGAACAAGTTATATTTACAATTTCATCAGTCATGTTTCATTTCATCAGTCATGTTGACTACCATATCAAACACAGTTGATGTTTCCTCACGACAACAACCAAATGATCTTGATAGCTTACTTGATTGGCGTTTAAATGTACTAATCGTATTTGTATGAAAACTGAGGATGACCTCTTTTCCATTTTTTTTAGAAATGTCTTTTGAAAAGATGCATATATTCTAATATGATAATAAAAACTTTTCGATTGTTAATACAGTTCATTCTCATCTGTAAAGAGGTTTCAAATGTATTTTGTATAGGTCAATAATTATATGCTTTATATCGAATCTTTACCATTTATTCGTTCTGTGTTGTTGTTACACCAAAAAAACAAATGCCCATTTCTTTTTCTTCTTCACATTTGGCTTATACTATTTATGGCAAAACAAATGATGAATGCTTGCTACCATTGCTTTGGCTAAGACAATCCGTGTAAGAAAATAAGAAAAACAAAATATATAATAAATCATGCGGTTTATTTTGTCAGTACTCTCTAAGCAATTAACTGGAATTAACTTGAAAAAACCTTTATTTCAATCTATTCAAAGAAATTTTAATCATCTATTTAATTTAAATAATTGTTTATTAAATAATCGAATATCATGTCGATTTCAATCATTTGAATCAAAATCGAACGAAGATTTTATATCAAGTACTTCTCATCAAATAAATTGTGATATATATATATTAACTAAAGATGGTGATTTACAAGTTCATCGAGGTCCATTTGATCGTGCTCAAATATGTCAACAATATAATCTTGCACCAAGAGATTTACAAAAACTTGATACTAATCTACTTATAAATGTTCCAATAATCGATATACGTCAAAATCGATTTATTTGTTTTTCATTTCG